CACACACACACACACACACACACACACACACACACACACACACACACCAGACTCTTATTGTGTATGGTTTTAAGTTAGGATAAGCTTTTCTCCAGTAGACTATTGATGCAGTTTAGGGTCCACAAGTTCACTGTCAGGTGGCAGCCTCCTCTTTATAGGTTCAGCTCTGAGAATAGCAAGCTTTATCAACAGCCACTTCACCCTTGTTCTAGCAAAGCCGACCCTGCTGTAAATGTAGGCTATGGTGGTTACCCATAATGCCCTCCACATGCATCAGCAGTTATGGAGATGACAGAACCCATGAGAGCTTCTTGTATGTATAAGTAGGCTTGATTTTTGTTGTTGTGTTGCTGGTTTGGCAGTTTGACTAAAGCTGACCCAAATGGGCCGGCTCGTATAATACTCTAGTGGTTTAATGCCTCTCTTCTTGTTCTGCTGCTGTCGTTTTTTTTGAGGGATGGGTAATATTATTTGAACAGATAAAGAAGGAACTGTTAGTGAATCAAGACAAACACACCTGAAATAAAGGAGCTGTGTATTAACCTGTTAACAATTCATAACTGCACTTTCTATGACATTTTGAAAATCTATTTATAGGTACAGAACAATGGGTTTTGTTAAACTGTATCACGTTTATACCTGCAGAATTTATTTCATTGTTATTAGTAGGAATTTTATTGGTTCAATAAAATTGGCAAAATTGATTCTGCTTTTTCTTTCTTTTGTGACTTACAGTAAAGAATATTCTCGCCTGTTTGCCTCTGCCTGGTGACTGAATCGTGTGCTCTGAGAGATGTAGAAGTCTTGGGAACCACAGTCTTCCCTGGTAGTTTTGACCCATGCTTTCTTTTCTCTTGGTCTTTAGTAGCCTTAGTTGTTCAGAAGGTAGGACAACTGTTCCTTTTAAAGGGTGGTCTCAGAAAAGGCAAGTTCATGTTATTAGTGTGTCTTATTGCCAATATCATCACTAGTGCTGCACAAAGTCAGAACTGAGTTTAAAACCTATTTTTTGGTCATATTCTGGTATCTTTGGGGGCATTGGGAGTATTGATTCTGAGTTTCACACACCATGTAATAGTACCTATCTGAAATGTTTTTGGCAAATTGGGTGATGTGCACTGGTTTCTTCACGTACCTAGCTCAGAAGTGAACTTGAGTGCATGGTTGAGAAGGCGCAGGGAAGGAGGACAGGAAGGATGGAAAAGATGATGACTGTGCTATGTTGAGTGGTGATGAGGCTTGCAGCACACAGAGAAGAATGAGAGGGGCATGTAGGGTCCTCCATGAAGGCTTTCCAATGAGAGTCCTGAGAAGCCACCCCAAAGACAAATGCCTCCTTGTCTCCATAGACCGACTGGAGTAGGGGTCAACAGAACCAGTTCCGAGCTGGACTCTCTTTTGTAATCTGCAACCTCTGGGGAAAGAAAGGGCAGGCAACTGAGAGTAGCCCTTCCCAAAAGGGTTATCTGTAACTCAAAGCCCACACTCGCAAGGCTTCCTGAATAGAGTCTCATTCAGTCCTCACAGTAACTTGTAAAGAGCTGACACATTGGCACACAGGGTCTTGAACTCTACTTTCTGACATTTTTAAACTGATGTTCACTACCCATAATCCAGCCGGGCTTCTTGATCAGAGATACAAATGATTATTGCCTTAAGCTCAGTAGCTTTGTGGCCGGCTTGCTTTTGCTTCTCCATTCGCGGTCCCCTCCACCATAAATAAGAATTGTGCTCTACTAAGATGTAAAAGTATGTATGTGCTCAAAAATACAAGATAACTTTCTCCTCTGGCTAATTTGATTTTTGAAATTTTTAAAAAACATCTTTTCTAGTTCTAAATAGGCCTTGTGATTTAATAGAAAGTACCTAATATGGTCCATTGATCCACTCTCACCAAGGAATATGGACTACAAGATTTGGTAAAGCTCCAAACGGCTGCATTTTGTTGGAGAGGGGCATTTCCTTCCATATAATAAAGTTATAAATCAAGCTGATACTTCTAATGTAAGGCCCCCATTCTGTGGAGAGGAAATCCATCTCAGAAAATGTCTCTGCCACCAGAATCTCTTGAATTTGACATAACTCAAAGTACAGGAATTCCATAAAATACCACTTGCCTTGATACCTGGGGATCTGCTATGGCGCTGAGGCAAAGATAGCAAGTATCTACCCCTCTGTATATGGGTAAGATGGCTTGGGGAAACGGGATGAAGGAGGGTTGGGGGGCTCCCGAGAATTACAAGCTAGGACAACTGAAAATAGCCAAAGAAGAGGAGGACCAGTGATGCAGAGAAAAAGGCCCCTTACCCCCATCCTCAGGCTAGCTGCAGGAGGGAATGGAGCAGATATAGTCCTCACATGGAACTTACTCATGGTGGAGGGGATAGGGATGGAGGAAAAAAGGCAAGAAGGTCGAGCAGCTACCTGATTACATGTTGGAGCAAAGGGAAAGGCGAGAAGTAAGAGCAAATGTTGAGGTGGACCAGCCAGTCCATGCTGGGACGCTAGTGAGAGGCAGGTGCCCTCGCCCAGGTGTGAGACAGACGGGCGTACCTGGCCCTCTCTGGGAGCCTGATGAGGGGAGAAGCATTGTGGAAGTGTGCTTACAATGTCTCGAAACTGGTGTTAGTGGTTCTTATGTTTATAGGGCAAGTACATGCTGCTCATGATCCTGTTGGGAAGCGTTAGGGAAGGGGCAGTTGGACTCTAGTCAGCAGGTATGGGGTTCTCACTTCGTTCCTGGGATGGCTTAAGCAAAGGACTACTGTAGTGGGTGATGGTCAATGCCGCCACCCTTATACAAACACCAATAAACCCGGACTCTCCATGACCTCTTCAAACCATCGTAAAGATCTCAGCAGCTCACCTGGCTCCTGGAGGCAGCTCCTGCCAGGGCTGTTTGAAACAGTTTGTGTCTGCCTTTCTATAATTGCAACCTTAGATGAACCATTTCCTCCTTGGCCAAAGAGGCAGCACTTCCCAGAGTAAAGGGACAAAGGCTATTGGTGCTAAAGAGCATGACTGTGATTGGTCCAAAACACAAGCATTAATGACAGTGATTGGTGCTAAGAGGATGGTTGATCCAAACAAGTGACAGTGATTGGTCCAAACACCCCTTGAGAAACATTCTCCCATGCTACTTGCTTACAACACGGGGGCCCAGTAAAGAATGAGAGTTACTGGCTCACCCCTCTCTCTCCTCCCTCCACCCTTCCTTCACCTCTTTTCTCTACCTTCTTATGTAGGGTGGACTGGTAGCAGAGATAGTACAGATGGGGCAGCTGTGGACTTGACAGCTTATAAAGAGGTAGACTCAGCAGCTGGGACCATTACTGCTCAGTTTTTAATCTCCATCACTGTGCTTCCAAACAGACTAACTTACATCTGTTAGTAGCAAATGCTTGACAGCTGACACTCCTGCAGTAGGTGGCTCCCCTGCTGTGTACTCTGCCTGTCCACTGGCGACCCTGTCTGCTTGCCTGAAACCCACCTGATGGCCAACAATCCCACTAGCAGCAGATACTGATGCCCAGTTCCTAAGCAGTCAGCTGGCTGTTCAGCTCCCAAGGAGTAACTAGTGCCCGACTCTCATGCATAGTCCTGGGGGAGGCCAGCTTCTCAGCTAATCCAGGTAGCAGATACAGAAGGGGTCAGGCTGCCTTG